GGGGTTAGGGGCAATCAGGCAGGCAGGTAGGGGAGTGGTTAGGAGCCAGCAGTCCCAGATTGTGAGAGGCAGTTGGACATCCCCTGAGGGATCCCGGATTGGAGAGGGTGCAGGCTGGGCTGAGGGACCCCCCTCCCATGCATGAATGCCGTGCACCGGGCCTCTAGTGTTTAATAAATACCGACAGCATGTCAGGCATGGTTGCAAGTGCTTTGTGTGAATCTGGCCATATAATCTTTATGCTGCTATTGTTCCTCTTTCACAGATGGGAAACTGAGGCTCAGAGAGGTGAAGGGACTTGCTTAAGGAGACGTACAGGCAGTTGGCAGCCAAGCTGGGATTCGAACCCAGGCAGCCTGTGCAGAGCTCCTGCTGGTGAACGCTGCCCTGCACCCACCCCTGGAGCCTGCGGGCACGCTCACCTGTGGGCACGCTCACCTGTGGGCACGCTCACCTGTGGGCACGCTCACCTGTGGGCACGCTCACCTGTGGGCACGCTCACCTGTGGGCACGCTCACCTGTGGGCACGCTCACCTGTGGGCACGCTCACCTGTGGGCACGCTCACCTGTGGGCACGCTCACCTGTGGGCACGCTCACCTGTGGGCACGCTCACCTGTGGGCACGCTCACCTGTGGGCACGCTCACCTGTGCAGCTGAGGCCCTCCTCGCAGGACTGCCAGAGCTCCGCGTGCAGCCTGCGCTCCGTGAACTTGTCGTCCCCCATCTCCCAATGTACTGAACAGCCGGCTCTCGTTGTCCTTCCTGCCGTCGCTGCCGCCCCTGCTGAAATGAATGCAGGGCCGCCCTCCTGCGTGGTCCTGGCACAGCGGCTTTGCCACCCTCCAGGTCCCCTCGCACCAGTGGCTGCTGCCCAGGGTGGTAAGGGAGAAGGCCAGGGCCAGGCAGACGGGGAGGAGGGCCAGTGCCTGCTGCCCCCGAGCCCTGTCTGTGGCTGAGTGAGGTATGCAGTGTAGGATGAACAGTGGCCCCTCCTCCCCTCCTGGTCGTGGTGCCCACCCTCCCCAGCCCTGCCATCTGTCAGCTCACAGGCTTCCGTGGTGCTCCCCAAGGAGTCGGTGCATGCCAGCCTGGGGCATCCATGTGAGCGCAGTGGCCTGAGGGGCCTCGTGAGAGCGCACAGGCCTGGGCGCACTCCATCACAGTGCTCCCCAGGGCGTAGAGGTTAGGGGGGCTTTCTGTTTTTTTCCATTGTAGTGGAATGCACATTGTGCAATCCGTCCCCCGAAACTGAGACGGCAGCCTGTGGCATCCACGTGAGCGCGGTAGCCTGAGGGGCCTGGTGAGAGTGCACAGGGCTGGGCGCGCTCCATCACAGTGCTCCCCAGGGCGTAAAGGTTAGGGGGACTTTCTGTTTTTTTTCCATTGTAGTGAAATGCACATTGTGCAATCCGTCCCCCGAAACTGAGACGCTGTACCCATTCAACACTGACTCCCCATCCTCCTCCCCAGCCCCGGCCACCACCACGCCGCTCTCGGTCTCTATGAGTCTGATCGCTGTGGGTATAAGTGGAATTTGCCTTTTTATGACTGGCTTCTTTCACGTAGGATAATGTCCTCACGGTCCATCCGAGTTTACTCCTGCCAGAGCTTCCTTCCTTCCTAAGGCCGAGTAATGCCCCACTGAGTGGACAGACCACGTCTTGTTGGCCCGTTCATCTGGTGCGTAGTTGGCTTGTTTCCACCTTTTGGCTACTGTGGAGGGTGCTAGCTTTTGAGGGAAGATCAGGGGAGGTTTGGGTGGGTTTCTGGGTATAGTCTCCCCACCCTTGCCCTTTGCACTGAGCAGGGGCCTCAGCATTGGATTCGGGGAATCTCGGGGCCGGCATGGCTCCCTGCCCAACCCTACAAGGAGGGACTTCCTCTTCGATGGGCTTTGAGAGACTTGAGGTACAGGCTGCCTGCTTCAGGCCCAGGTGCTGTGCAGAACAGGGGAGGGCGCCCCACCTCACATGGGCGCAGAATTCAGCCTGATCCTGGAGCCCCTAAAGCTGCAGGCAGAGCCCTTGGCCCATCTCTCATGCCCTTACAATGGGGCCCTGCAGCAGGGAGGACTGTGGCGCGAGGGAGACTCAGGCTGCTTCTTGGGCCGAGGGCATTCATGGAGCAGCGAGGGCAGGAGAGTCGGGGAAGATTCCTTGTGGCATCTGAAACATACGGGTCCTTGATTACATATGCGGCACCTCCTGGAGACGCTCGGATATTACTGAGCATGTACCGGCCTGGGCGGGTGGGAGAAACGGCAGTGCCTGTGGGCTGCTAGCAGTGCTCTGTCCTGTCTGCTGCTAAAGGCTGAGGGTGTGCTGTCAGGCACCCAGGAGCCGTGAGCATCTGGTTTACCAAGTCTTCTCACTAGATGGCATCCGTCGATGGATGGGGGAAGCCGTGTGTGTCCCCACCTTCTAGAAAAAGGATGTTTTTGAGAAAAAGAGATTAGATAGAAGATTTAAAAAATTTTTTTTATTAAGGTATTACAAATGTGTCTTTATCCCCCCATTGTCCCCTCATCCCCCCAATCTTGCCCTTACCCTCACCCCCTGTTGTCTGCATCCATCACTTATGCTTATATGCCTGCATACAAGTCCTTTGGTTGATCTCTCCCCCTTACCCCCACTCTCCCCTACCTCCCCTCTGAAGTTTGAGCATCTGATAGATGCTTCTCTTTCTCTAGATCTCTTTTTGTTTATCGGTTTATGTTGTTCATTATAGTCCACAAACAGTGAGATCATGTGATATTTATCTTTCTCTGACTGACTTATTTCACTTAGTATAATGCTCTCCCGCTCCATCCATGCTGTTGCAAATGGTAGGAGTTCCTTCCTTTTTACAGCAGCATAGTATTCCATTGTGTAGATGTACCACAGTTTTTAATCCACTCATCTGCTGAAGGGCACTTAGGCTGATTCCAAATCTTAGCTATTGTAAATTGTGCCGCTATGAACATAGGGGTACATATATCCTTTCTGATTGGTGTTTCTGGTTTCTTGGGATATATTCCTAGAAGTGGGATCACTGGGTCAAATGGAAGTTCCATTTTTAGATAGAAGATTCTTACCAAGCTGGCATTTTCTTTGCCAGCACGCCACTTGGAAGCCAGCCTTAACTGGGCAGTTACAGGATAACTGTACAACCATGTCAAAAGGACCAGAGCCCACCACGTGGGCACTTTGCTCTCTCTATGTCACTTCATCCTGCTCTCTGTTGGCCCCAAGAGATGACCACATTGATTCCAGAGGCCACATCGTTAAAAGAGTCCATTTGGCGGGGTTGGGGGGCAGGGGTGTCTTTGCTCATTATGAGCATTCGTTGCTAAGGATTAAAATCTTGCCACAGGCAGTTCCGAAGACTTGCAAGGATTTCTATGAAGGGTTGCTCATCTGCTTCTCTCCAACTGTTCAGAATTTTCTCACTCAGATAAGCTGACCAAGATGAGTTCCTGCTGACCTGCATCTCATTCAGTCAGTACGTGGTCCCCTGGGCCTCCAGTTCCGGAGGCTGGGAGGACTTGGCGGGGGATGCTGGGAGCTGGGCTGGGAGAGGTGAGGTGAGAAGGGCCACGCAGAGCCTTTCACAGGCATGGCGATGAGACCACTAGAGAAATGGAACTGCCTAGAGAGTTAGGGTAAGATAAGGCAACTTACCACATTGCTGTGGCTCTGCCGTTTACTTGCTGTGTGGCCTTGGGCAAGTAACCTAACGTCTCTGAACCGGTTTCCCAGCTGTCAAGTGGAGAACTAGCAGCCCTCACAGGAGTATCGTGGGGACGAATGAAATCGGATGCTGGGTGAAAAGCTTTTGTAAATGTGAATTGTGACGGGGAAGCACAAATACGGTCATAAGTGACGGCTCACGTGTTCCAGAGAAAGGTCTGCCAGGTGAGCTGCGTGATGTGCTTGGAACGAGTGGGCCATGCCAGGAGGGCGCAGCTGACTTTTCAGCGTGTTGCGTTGCCGCCGTGCAGACAGAACTCGGATCACCGATTGGGTGTTTGCTTCAGACCCTGGGTCAGGAGCTGCTCTCCTGGGCCGGGCAGCTGTTTCTTGTGAAGTGTTGGCACAGACAGGGCCCAAGGAGGCCTGGACAACCTCGGAGGCTGGGCTCAGCCCGGCCTGGGCCATCCCAACGCCTTAGCAAAAAATGTCTCCATCAGGAAGATGCCCACCAGGAGCTGGCTCGAGGCCCGTCCTCTCTGCCGGCCATGCCTCAGCGGCTCGAACCCGAGCTGCCACAGCCAGGCCTCGGGGGTGGAACCTCCGGGCTGCCTTGCTTTTCCTCGTGGGCCTCCACAGAGGACGTCCCAGCAAACACAGCTGACTTGGGGAGGTCTGGGAAAAATCTCCCTGCCCGGGGGGGGGCCGGACGGGGCTGAGCCACGGTCGATGAGAAACTTGGGAGAGCCAGTAGATTGGTCTAGCCGGGTGCAGACGCTCTTGACGCGTGTGGAGAGACTTTGTGCAAACATTTCCTCGCTGGACACGGAGGGATGCGACAGGAGGCTGCCTGCGGTACATCTTGGACTGTCAGACAAATGTGCCCGCACTTGTGAGGGTGCCGCGAGGAAGATGAGGCGAGAACCCAGCAGGACAGGGCCCCGGAGGAGGACCTCGGGGCCCCGGCGGGAGGTCCGCGTGTTGCCCACCCACAGCCCTGCCTCCCCGGGGGCCAGCTCTCTCCCCTCCTGTGGGAAGCGCTCTCTCCAGTCCCCTGCGCGGCCCTTCCTCGCTCTGCTGCTTCTGGTTTCCGTCAAGCAAGTAAGAGCAGTTTTTATTATTGTTGTTGTTATTAGTATCAGTGGCACATTCTTTCTGATTACGGAAGCAATCTAGGCCTCTTGTAGGCAATTTGGAAAATATAAGACAGTTTGAAGACAATCTAATCCTAGCATCCAGAGGTAGTCACTGTGAATATTTGGGCATATTTTCCTCAAATCCTTTCTCGATGCATTTTTCACACAGCTGAGATCATGATGCAGGAAACATTTTGCATCCTGGTTTCCCCTTTTTGTCCTCATAGAAGCATTTCCCCACGTCGGTATGAACTCTAAATACTAGTAGCATTTAAGATCACGGCATATAACCTCCTGTCTGTCTGCTTCTATCATCCTCTCACATGTGAGGATGTAGGCTGAGTGGGTAGCTCTTTTTTATCTTTTCTTTCCTTTTTTCATCCTTTCCTTCCTTCTTTCCTTCTAATTATAAAAATATAGGATGTTTATTGTTTAAAAAAGTAAACTTATAAAATCCAAGAAGGATAAATACGGACAACAGCTCACTGTGATGCCACCATCCAGCGGTCACCCTCATTCACATTTTGGGGCTCATACTTCTACCACTTATTTATATCTTCTTTATAAAAACAACAACACAAGATCTAATTATAACTGTTATCTTGTAATATGCATTTTTTCTTAACAAGATACACTAATAACACAGGCTAACATTTTTTGACCACTTACTATGCAGCTGGTGCGGTGCCAGGCTCTCAGCAGCCCTGTGAGGGGAGTTCTTTAATCCCATTTTACAGATGAGGAAACTGAGTCTCGGGGAGGTGGAACGCTTTCTACGTCAGTAAAGGTAGCTCCATGCATGAGGCTTAAGGGCTCCAAGGAAGTGTTCTAATGTATGTAACCGTTCTCTTCAGTTGGGCATTCTGGTAGCTTGTCTTATTCTCATCCAAGAAGTTGGAACCTTTGCCCCTTCCTTTTCAAGGTTCCGTTGCTAGACTGGGCTGTGATGTGAAGGAACCCAGTTCCATTCATCTGAGTAAGAAGGGGCCTTGAGGAATGTTCTCTTATTCCTTTGGTCCCTAGGCACCTCCGAGTCCTAAATCCCTGCTGCCCCCTAGAGGGAGGGCTGGGTGCCAGCTCTCATGTGGTCACCGACCAGGCTTTCTCTGGTGCTAGCCCAGGACCAAGCAGGCGGGGCACCCCGACAGAATTCATGCATCCCAGTTCTCTCCAAGCTGACGTCCAGCCCTCGTAGCAGACTGCAGACACGAGCCCCTCCGTGGTCTCCTGGAAGCCTTGCCTGGTGGCAGCCTCGTGGTCAGTGTCCAGAACATTTTCGAGGGGCAGGTGGCTGCAGCCTGTCTCCTACCCCAGGACTTAATCTGTTAGCTGCAGGGCCATTGGGAAGGTTGACACAGAACCCTCACCCTTGCTTCAATTCTCTATCATAGTAAAACTGAATAGATCCAGCTAATTGTCTAGTTTTCTTCACCTTCTACCCACAGCTATGCATTGATGGCCTCTGAGGTGCCAGGCACTGCTGAACTTGCACTTACCATAAATCACCTTGCTCAAACCCACACCGAGCTTCTGAGGAAAGGATTATTACTGAACCCATTTTACAGATGGGGAAATGAAGATTCACAGGAGTTAAATGATCACCAGTGATCATGTAGCTCGTGAGCCGTGGAGCCACTGTGCGCTTGAGGAAACGCGCTCTCTCTTCCCCAGCATCCCTTGCAAGCTGCTGGCATACGGATATTTATATGTTAAAACAGCAGACTCTGCGGGGCCTCAGGCCGGCTTATGACACTGACAAAGCCGCCCCTTCGCCCCGAGTTCATAATCACTCAGGTGCCTGTTAGCATGTTCCCTCCCGCCTCCGCCACCCAGTCTGTTTTCAGAGCCTCTTCCCTCTGTCTGTCTGGCAGTGTGTCTGTAATCCCGATGGCCCTCCTCTTGGTTCTATCTCAAAGCCCATATTCTTCTCCACACGTTTACATTACAAGGCCTGGTGCGGACTTCCATGCTGAATTTTGCTTGGAGATCCTCTCCCTGCGTGGATTATAAATGACCGTGGTGTGTTGTCTGGCAGGAAGTCTTCATAAAAATCCACTTACTGAGAAATTCTCAGGGATAGTTTTGTTTCTAAATTCAAGTAGAGAAATAATTCTGTCACCTCCTTCCTCCTCCCCCTCCTCACAACTCATTTAAGCCAATTAGCAGCTGCTTTAGGCATCAAAACACAAACTCTTTAAGACTATTCAAGAAGTTTGTGGCTCTTTCATACATGGCTGATGGGATTGTAAAAAGGTACATATTTTTAGGTAAAAATTTTTTTTGGCGAGGATGATAGTTTGGCAGTACGTTATCAAACCCTCTAAAAGTGTATACTTTATGACCCAGAAATTCCAACTCAAAGAATTTCTCCTAATAAAGATGTGCTAAAGTATTTAACTCTGAATATTCTCATTACAGCATCATTTATATTAGCAAAACAGCTAAAGCAACATAGATGTCCAAAGCTAGAGAATTTAAAAAATAAATTATACCACATTCATCCCCAGAAAATGATCATAGCTGTTAAAATGGTCATTTTAGAAGAATATATCTTCTAGTGAAAAAGAGGCCACAGAACAACACAATTTCCTTTTCGGTTAAAATAAAAAAAGAAGAACAAGGATGCCGGTGTGCAGAGATGATAACTTCTGAGTAATACCATTGTGATTTTATCGTCTCCCTTTTTGCTTATCTGTAATTTTAATTTTATTTACAATGACATATATTCCTTCTGTAACAAATAATATTAGAAGATGTATTTAAAGCAAGTCAACAGAAGAATATTCCGTTTCCCTGAATCCCTTCCCAGCCAAATTAGTCATTGATGCTGTTACCTAAGCAAGAAAAAGAGGAATCAGACTTGAGCTGGACTTTTCCAGAGGAAACATCACTCGTGTACTTCCTTTCCTCGTTACTGTTTGGACCTGGCTGTGATTGAACTTGGATTTGCCTCTTGTGCCTTAGGACATGCACCTGGGAAGACAGTCTGAGTTTGTCTGGCTCTCCGAGACTGACCAAATTCAGTGTTTTAGTGTTTCTTATGGCTTGTCTTTTTTTTCTGTTTTTGAGCATGGCCATTAGTCATGGCAAAGAGCAGGGGATGGGGGAGTGTTAATCCAGGGACATCTCACATAAAGGACTGATTCTATTGTCTCTTCCTCAGCCGGGTCCCAGTGAGGTCTCCAAGAACACACACAGCCCTTTAACCAAGAAAGCTCTTACTTTTGTGACTTGGAAGATTCTTGAAGTTTACAATTTATTTATCAACTTCTCTGCTAAACTTGTAAAAACAATGTAAAGTTACTTATGGCCCCACTAGGATACAAAAAATCCTAATGTGTTAATAAGCTTTCATCTTGCCTCTTGGGCCATTCACAGGGAGATATATTACTAATGGAGATTCAAAATTCATTGAAAACAGAAACCAAGGGATACATGCCAATTATTTCATCATCAATATCACCATCATCACTATTTCTTGGCTAATCCCAGGGTTCCCAAATGGTGTGCTAAGGTGCCCCAGGGCACTGCTGTGAGTTCACAGAGGTGCTGTAAGATATTTTAATTTTTCGAGGGAAGCAGCGATCCATGACATCTGCCAGACGCTGTGTGAATTACTAGCTCGAGGTAGTTCATGGTTTCAACATTATATCATGCTGCATTCCTTTTGATGACGTCGTATTTGTGCAAAGCAGGGTTTTCTGAAGTTGCTGTGATAAAAAGCAAGTACTGCACAGAAGTCAATGTGGAACAAAGGTGTTAGCATGTTCCCTCCCCACTCCGCCACCCTTGAGGAATGTTCTCTATTCCTTTGAGTCTGAGTCTTAGGTTTGGGAAGTAGTGCGATCCCCAGTGGGCACTAGGATGTAAATACTTACTAAGCTGTTTAGACCTACCTACTTAATAAGTGGGACTTTAGATATTTCTTTCAGCGTAGGGGTGCCATGGAATAATTATTGAGACACCAAAGGCACCAGGAATTGAAAAAGCTTGGGACCCTCTGGTCTAGTAATGACCGTATTTATTTTTCAAAAAGTTGGCTGTGATTCTTTAGAAGAAATGCAAAGAACTACTCACACACGTGATCATGAATGCTATAAGATTGGGGGCGGGGCAAGCTGGGCTGAGGGTGGGTATAGATTGGACTAATTACTCAGGAGGTGAAAACTGGCTACTGGTTAAGCTCGTAAGAGTTGTAGTTTTTGTTTGTTTGTTTCATTTGTTTTATGGGGTTTTTGTTGTTGTTGTTTTTTGCTTGTTGGTTTTGCTTTGTTTAGGGTGTGTGTGTGTTTTAATACCTTTAGGTGGAGTATCTGCCCAATTTACAATGGC